TAGAGATATAACTATGCATCATGTACCTAATATAAAAATGTGTACAGGAATAATAAATTGATTAACAATAGGTTAAATCGTTAAGTTTCGTAGGATCCTAAGTACGACAGCGGACAATTTTTAAAATCTTTTTGGGTCGCTAAGATGAACTCTTTTATATGGCGCCAAGACTCCTTATCTTCATCCAGTTTAGTTTTTATAGTAGTAATAGCATGCCGCCATCTATTTATCGGCATAATTTTTTTTATTTCTTCGACATCATATATTTTTAACTCGACGTAATATTTTCCTTCTTTCGTCTCACTAATTTGCCGAGAATAGCCCTTCCGCAGCCTTTTCGTAAAATAAGAATGTATAGGTGGGACATTACCCGTTTTGGTAGAGCTCTTAACACATTCATTCTTGTCATCGTCTTCGTCACCGAATAATTCATTGGCCGTAACGCATGCTGGCGGAGAAATTGGGGAGATAGTTGGTTTGGACTTTTTCGAACTAGATCCTTCACTCGACTTGCCGGATCGCTCTCTCTTCATTTTCTTGTCCTCCGACTTCCCCTTCGGCTTCACCTCCGCTTCAGAATCGTCGCTGGAGAGAAAGAGATCGTTGGCGAGTAGCTTCGACCTGTGTATAAATAATATATTATTAGTGCACTGTAATCGATAATTTTATTTTCTACATATGTATAGGTGTTTATGTTGATTAGGTTTCGCTATATCTCTAAATATTTCTATGTATAAATCTAATATTAAAAATTATAAAAATCGATGAACAACAAATACAATGCTTGGTATAGGTACAGACACATAGTCTTAACGTCAAACTAGAATATTCTATCTATGCTACAGAGATAAGAAATAATGATCAGATTAACTATATGTATGTCACAGTTAGACTTGAAACGCTACGAGAATGGAACCCTCGACTGTCCAATCTTTCATAAGCAGTCATAATTATCATTGTGTTATAGTTGAAATAAATTAAAATAATTATGTAACTGGTACTTAGTTTTCATTTTTTTTCAACACAAAGTAGCATATTCGATCTGTGCAGGAATCGAACCTGCATCACAATATTGACGGTCAACATTCGAATACTTGAATATATCAACTAATACATTGCTCTGACCATTTAATAGTTAGATAAATGATTATGAATAGATACTTACATTCTTGATAGGTGTTTAGACAGGTAGCTTGATCAGGAGCTCGGAGAGTTGATCCGTTGTAGAGAGGATTCGTACCAGAGAGGAATTGTATCGGAGACTAATTTGCTATGCGTTTTTATAGGCCTAAAATCACATCATTCAATCCAAATTTGTAAAACTGCATACTTGCAAAAATTGCATACACGAGCGTACAAATCTGAGCGGTTAAGGTTTTAAGCTTAGTGTTATTATATAAGATGGCTTTTACCCATGGCTTCGCCCGCGTTAGTTTTAAATTATCCCACGGGAACTTAATACTGAGATAAAAAATCCTATGTCATATTCCGGGTTATGGTCTATCTGTATGCCAAGTTTCATCGAAATCGGTTAAGTAGTTTTAGAGTTTATTCGTTACAAACATACAAAAATACAAATCTTTCCTCTATATAATATTAGTGTAGATTATTATATGTATAGATAGATAATGTAGACGGATGATGAATATAGATACTTACTTAAATAAACAATAGGGGAATTTCATATTTAGAAAAAAAGTTTGAAGATTGTTGTTTTTTACTGAATGTTTTTGACGTCAGGCGACGGTACAAACGCTGCGGTTTGCACGCTCGCATGCAACTTCTAGACATGTGGAGGAATGGAGATATGACTAGTCAGAATCTCATATTTCGGTATGTAAAAATAAGCTTGTATTTATCTTATAATTTTTTCACAATTACTATGATAACTTATTTGTTTTTATGAAATATAGAAGAAGTTGAACAATTGTATGAAAACGTAAAACGTGTCGATGCTCACTAATTGTAGGTACCTACTACAATAATAATCAGATCGATTAAGTAAATCTTGTGTTTTATTCCAGCATAGAGGTACATCTAAGCTATTAAAAAAATAAATTAATAACAAAAAACTATTTATTTTTAATCTTTATAATAATAATAGCAGGTAAAACCAGGCTTAATAATTGTATGTCGATATTGATCAATTGTTATGATCCGTCTCCTTAAAAAGAATTCAGCTACGTTGCAAATTCGCTAACGCTGATATACTATTAACATACCATGATTTTGCTTGCCAAATCATTTTAATAAAATGTATGAAAACAATAACCGTGAACAAAAATACAGTAGTATTATTTTGTCGATATATATTTTCGATAAACAATAAAATGTTAGGCGTCGTAATGTCTGCGGTTTCAATTTCACCATACCATTTTTGTATAGATATTAACATCTAACAAAAATATACGATATTGAACTCTATGTATTAAAAGAAATAATTAAATTTAAAAATATAAAAGGGGGATATAATAAATTGAAATCCATTTCATCTTTGAATCTGATGGTGAAGACTGAATCAGACTGATATAATTGCGGAATGTCGGTAAGTGTTACTTTAATACATTCACTAACAATTTAAAAATGTATTAATATTAACAATAGTAGTAAGTAGCATCACAGCATTAATTATTTCCACATAAGCCTTTATTTCAATCGTAACGTTTGTAGTGTAACTTAAATTAATATTGTATTGTTATTTCAGGACTCGGAGGATCTCTTCAATTTTGTACCCATGAATCAACCAGTCCAACAAACCACTGGACAGAAGACGCTGGGTCTCGCTCGCAAGAGATCAAAAACAGATCAGACATTCTATCAATTTATAAAGAAGCCTGTTTCTCGTGGAACGAAAATAATAAAAATAGAAATCTATGATACAGACAGTTTTCAAAAATCCGAACAGCCGATGTGTAATTGTGAGGCTGATGTGTGTGTTCAACATGTTGTGAAAACTATATTATACGATGATATATATACCAGTACGAGAGAATTAATTGCCAAAATTCAGGATGACATCGAACCAAGAGTATAGATTTAATAATTTAAAATGTATAGACGTTACCGTTTACCACTTATGTATGTTTAATTTTCTAAAAAAGTTTATGTAAATAATTATAAGTGTACCTATGTAGTAATGAATAGATATCAACTATAAAAATATCAAAAATTGTATATTTAAAATAAAATAATTCAAAATATCATTTTTTTATTGCTAACTCATTCTTATACATGTAATAAATAGCCACTGCACTACGTACCTAGGTATATAAGGCAGCGCAATGGACAATAGCGAGAGCATTCCATATTATCATATTCAATAAGTATGATCTTTTTTATGAATATTACTGCCATGCCTGCTATCTTAAAATAATATGTGAATAGAAGATTAAAATGTGGAAAATAGGGTATCCAGATCTCTGATCTGGATGCCCTATTTTCCAACTACTAACGTCAAATATTCTGTTTAAATGATGAATCTCTCGTAGATTTAAAATTTACTTTCATTGCAAATATATCACTCTGTTTACGAAACCTTGACAATTTATTATTATCTTTATTCCACATATAAACATATAATTTACATTTTTAAATATTTCTTCAAAATTAAAAAAACAAACATTATTTTTGTGGAAGAAAGTCCCCCTTACTTTCAAAACCACTGCAACTCCTGTTAGCTAGGATTGACAGTAGATACGCCATGAACACCGTAAAGAGTCAAAGGGGCTGACTTGGATCCCGCAACAAAACAAATCAGAAGATATTATTAGCGGTGAAAAAAAACAAAATAGTTTTCCCTATCCCCGCTTAACGCAGGACACAGAAAGAATTAGCCTTTTCGCCTTGAAGGCAGAGAAGAGACTGTTTTACTTGTACTTATAATTTGTTGATATTATTTATCAACTAGCGGCCCACTCCCGCTTCGCACGGGTCCTACTATCTCGCTAACAACGAAAGCGTCCCTTTTCCCCAATTTTCCCCTCTACTTTTTAATATTTTCTTTCATAAGAACCTTCTCATGACATTAATAAATACAAAACAAAAGGATTTGGCAAAATTGGTCCAGGAGTTTTTGAGTTATGCGCTTACCAACACATTTTGCGATTAATTTTTATATAATAAGATGATAAACCGATAAAATGGTTCAATTGTATAAAAAAGCTCATATAATAAACCCCAGCGACTTAAACCATCCGATTACCCCTGACCGTTTGGTACAGAATCAAAACCTTTATATTCATAAAAACGTAGTGGTGGCAAACGATTTGAATACAAAATTGAATGATCAAAACGTTATGATTTATTGTTTTGGCTTTACATACACGTATAGTGTTGAATGTTAGTCTATCGGTACGTCGAATGTTAATGTTGTATCAGCTGAACAGCTGCACCGGTTCAACTAAGCAGTAAACAACACGGCACTAACAGACGTTGCTTGGAACCGGTCCACTGACTCCAAAATACCAATAGATCAACTTTCCTTTTTATTTAAGTTTACATCTACTACAACTTTACAAGAACCAACGTATAAATTATTATAATTTTATTTTTATTTTGTTCACAGGTAAATATTCGTGTTTCCGCACCACCACGTCACGTTGCGGTAACTAGAACATCAAACTTCAAAACAAATCATAATTTATATAGAAAACGGTTACTGGTGATGAGTTTCATCTCTAAAAATGTATCAGTTGCTGGAAATCATGAGACGTAGCTTGTATGCTAGATCTGTAGTGTGTATCCACCGCGCCAGCTTACAGCCGCAGCAAAATCAATGAGGGCGGCGGCTGACTCTGTCACATTATTAAATCATGAAACAGCAGCGACACTGACCGCATTTCGGTTCGCAGCCTGCAGCATCCAACACGGGGAAATGCACCTACTTTCTTTCCACTGCAACTAGCGGGCTTTGGCTACAATCACCAGCCCGGGCCCGGTCAAAACAACACATGTTTTTTACTGAAATGCTCTTCACCATCTCTATCGTCTTTAGCATAGAGCTCAAATCAGCTCGACCAATTTCTATTTAAGTCCTATACACACTGCGCACAATCCCGTTTATTTTTCCGTAGCGAGATGGGTGTACTCGCGGAGCTCGATTAGTCGTCCGTAAGCCACGGCGCGGTCAGGCCGCGTTCGCGGGTGCTCCGTGTATTAAACTGTCGATATCAGTGTGAGATCTGTTTTTTGGAACATGTGCTGTGTTTGATAAAGAAGATGACCGGTGAAATTTGCTGCAACCAAAAATGGTATGCGTTGATTTGTGCGGGTAGCTGAAAGGAGAGATGCACTTGCGTGCTCTACTCTCACTCGAACGGACAACCACCGGCATGAAGGGCCAACCGGTTTGGTGAGATCTCCTCCCGATCCACACTCTTGTAGAATAGAAAGCCCTTAGCTTAGCCCATATGTACTTGTCCATCGTTCGCAGTTCGAGCCTTGCTTTACGTTTATTTTTGCTGATCTTTGGAATTTAAGTAAGCATCATCATGTGTATGTGGATCACGTAGCCGTAGACATTGTTTGTATAGAAGTTATTTAGCACTTTTCTAATGGAACATACGATATATTTATTTTTGTGAATCATATGAATTGTTTGCAGCATTACATAATTGGAGATACACGTTGATGTTAAATGACATTTGCGGATCACATAGGTAATGTGCGCTCTTACAATTGAAGCGCACAAAATATAATTATGCGATTACAAAGCCGGCGCCAGAATTAAGTGGAAATGCTTTTATCAAATTAGTTTTACACGTGCATCTATCTATACAATTTTTGGCATATTCTGCCTTTCATTTAACATTAGTTTACGAGTACGATCGACACTATTGATAGAATATGTCCAATCAAATTACACGGTCACTCTCTCTGATTAGTTTCAAATAATGCTTTGATGTGCCATTCTATTATTTTGCAACGTCCATTAAGGATAATTAATGGTTAGGGTTCCACGCCCCGGCTTGTTGCTTACAAATGACTGAAAGATGCGAAAGTAGGTGCAGCTTGTTATGAATAACTTTATAATTTGTAACACAAACATTAAAAGCATCGTGTTTACAATTATTCTAATGATGTTTAGTATGTATAGCTGCTTCATTATAAATAGTATCAGTGTTTTTATCAAACGTAATGTTGCTTCGTAACAATACATTAACGTTATTGTTTATTGAACTTAGAAATGGACTATGTAGGTCCATATCTTCTTTTACAAACATGTCTCCCATATTGTAATGAAGTTAATGTTTACATTAAATTTACCGCATAATTTAGCGGAGATATTCTTTGTAAGCCTTTGTTATGACAAGATAAAAGATAAAAAGATGAGTAAGAAATTGTAGTAAGAGCATCGACAGGAAGAAATACAATTCAAATTACTTTAAACGCCGATACAATATCGATAAACGGAACTAACCTCGACAATCTCGATTGAACATTGATAAAATGGATTCCCTCGAAGTAAATTCAATTATTATATTTCTATTCAAAATTCACAACAATTTCTAACTTGATACAACAATTGATATTTCCTTCCTCATCTTGTGAAGACACTTATACATTTCCAATATCTTTCCGTTTGTTTATAACTAGAGTTACAATGGAATATTTGTAGAAAAGATATAGGTAGACAATGATATAATGTATTAACAATTAATGTTCAGGTAGCCACCAAGTCAGGTTATTGGCCATCTTCGCGTGCAAGAACTCTTTCAAACAGACCAACTTTCTCGTTTGACATATTGTTACCAAAACATCTACATTCTACTTGTTAAATACGTACTGGGTAAAACCAAAATAATGAGCAACCATTAACACAAGTTAATTTTCTCAAGAGGGAAACAAATTCGTAAAATAATATTCCCAAGTTTTTATCCTACGGTTAACCCAAACCAACAAAGAAAACACGTTGATTCAACTTGAGTCTTTTATAACTTACACTACCTACATTGTCTCCTTAGCATTGCACTATCTTAATTATTAAATTCCAGTGAATTTCGCTAATATCATAATGTTCTGGGAATCCCTTAATGTATTTGAAAGTCTTATAGCTCAGTTTTATTATTTTATAATTTTATTTAAGTGTAAATGCTATCTAACTTTTGCTCTATCATAATTCCAAATAACGAAATAAAACTCACATAATTTTAAATGTAACAAAAATCGCCACAACATCTTGGTCAACAAAACATTGGTCCTAATACCTTGAGGAACTCAAACAAATATGTGAATTGATGAATCAACACGTACTCTAGTAATACCGTTATAATAAGCTTCTCAAACTAGACAAGAAGTACAAACAGATTGTTGTGTTAGCACGTGCCGTCTTCAGGTGTTGTGGACTTGTGGTCACGGTAAGGTATACTGTACACAACAAACCCACGTGACATTGACGGCTATCACGTTGCCTTTACAAATCAGATTGAATTGAAGTAATAAACGCAAAATATGCTGTTATTGCTCCATTTCGATACGCCAGATAGCTATGCATATCTGAGGAAAATAAATTGGCATCGGTTGGTTTTGTTTATCTTCAGTGTCTTTCCTTAAAGGATGTTTAATATTCTCTACGTGCGCTTTTGTGTTTTATTGCTGATGATGAAAACAAAAAGGCAGGAAAGTCCCCTCCACCCATTCATACATAAATAATTGAGAATTGTTCAAAGCAATGAATGCGCGGAACCATCCAGCGTACCTATCAGTATTTTATCGGTTTCATTATCGAATATTAGCATAACAATTCTATTATGCCCACAATCATCTTAATTTTGGGATAGCAAAATTATTAAGTACTAATGCAAATTTGAATTGTTTATGCAATACAGAGTATGACAACCTGGTGAATATGAGAATCAACAAAAAAGCATGTTGATATAGATTAAATGACGTCACTCCATCGTAGTTGCACACGACCGGAGTTATCAAATATAAAGCATTTACTATAGCTATCAACTTTTCATTCCCAAATTTTCCAAGTTCGTTTGTACTAGAATTGTGTTGTTGCCAACTTCTCTTACTTTCGTTTACGTCGACAAAGTTGTACTAAAAATTTTTCAGCTACACAGCGTACTATAGTAAAATCGTCTAGCGACTGAGAAGTCAAGATATATGATTTGGTTGAGCGTGCAGATGCGCTTTCTGTTTAGTGCCGTGATTTATAGGCTGCCTAAACCAGCGTACTCAAACATTAGTATCTCACTTTCATATCACACCTCACCAGGAGTTCCAAACTAGTTTTATTATGAAACAGTAGTAATAATCCAATCTTAGGAAGTCAATGAGTTTGTTGGTATGCCGATTTCAATATTTCTTTTCTTTACTTGTATACCAAAGAGATAAAAACATTAACATTTCCTCTGTTATCGATTATGCTAAAAGCTTTTCAAGATTTCGCAATCCCAATATTGTAAAAAACCTTTTTTATTCTTTGTTCGACCAAATATTCTGATCTACATATACTTGGTTTTGAAGAAGTAAAAGTTTTTTTTTGGTAGGAATGGAAGGGGTTCGGTTTTAATTTTACCTTTTTTAATCCCTCCCTATTGTACTAGTATCAAAATCCTATGTTATACGATCCCTTATCGACATTCCTTTACGATTTGAATAGCATCCACAAGATACATGACCGTGAACCGTGTGTTAACCTATGCGTCATAAAGGACGCCATAAAACAAGAACAAAATAGAAATATGGAGGGATCCCAAATTGGATAGCCACGGCCACCGACAAAAACATTTCTTTTTTTGTTGTCTGGATACGAATGTACTATTAATTTATGTAACGTTATAGTCTGACCGTAATAATATATTTTCAGATACAGACAAAATAAAAACCTTTTTAATACAATATAAAAAACAGAACTTCGTTGAGATGAAAATTTTGAATTAAGAATTGAATTATCTATTGTTTTTTATTCAAACTTTTCTCAAATATTCAGAACGAAGGGAAAAGTTTTACCTAAACTTCGTAAATCTAATTTCAAATTCCATTGAAGATGGAGGGACGTAATAGCCATTTGTCATCATCAAAGACATGATTACAGGAAGAGGGCATTGTAGTGAACCCTTTCTTAGCCGGGTCTCATTAAAATTGTCGACGACACTACCCATTGTTCACTGCATCATGCTTGTGACATTCTACTGTTACGCAATGTACAATTTAAAGTGTTGTAAGGCGAAGACACAGTAAATAATGCTTCTACAGATAAAACAAAGTTCGTAAGTATTTTCCCATTGACAGAGACAAAAAAAAAATTTGTAAATGTGGTTCATTTTTGCATTTTAACATCAAAAGCGGTCCAACATCAATGAAATTTAATTTAAATAAAAGCTGTGGTTTCTCTTTGCGTAAAGTGAGTGTGTAACTCGTTATGAGAAAAGTTTTGAATGTCACGGATAGGGTTCGTTCCTACCAAATGGCTCTTCTGTCTCCCATAATTTGACTGCTCAAAACATCTTTTGTCTCTTTGCTTAACTACAGTTCTACAGGTGTAGGCAGAAGTACTTTTCTAAACAATTAAAATCTTACCATTATTAACTTTATTTTTGTAAACATAAAATATAAATTCAATTAATTATGTTTATAAATATTTTTATGACCTTTGGTCGACGGGGAGATGGCTTGTAGCAAAATAGATACCTAGCTAGGTGCTAGTAGCGCTGAGAGCGTAATTGACTTAAACTTGTAGCCACGTTAACTGGTAGACTTCACAGTTATAAATAGATGTGATGGACTTTTGCTGCAACGCATTTTGCGTTTTTATAAGTTTATTAATTTAGCAGTTCAGTCAGATTCAGTAAAATGTCAGTGAGTAGTACGGATCCAGGTTTGCAAGGTCTGTCCTGATAGAGAAGAAACAAATTTAAATAGTAGGTATTGAGCCAGTAAAAGTATATGCAGGGCGAAAGAAGTTTATAAAGTACAAAATTATGAAATGCTAGCATAAATACTTCTTGATAAAAATTAAATACTGCTTTTTTAGGATCTAAATAGAATAAAGACCGAAGCCGGCCAGCAAAAAAAATTATAAACTGTGTCAACAAACTGTGTCAAACAAAAATAAATTAAGAAGATGAAAGCGTGACCTTTGACAGACAGATTAAATTTTTTGGATGCCTCTCACACCCTTTTTTAATATGTACTTGGATCGTAACGCGATCTCGATTTGGTAGAGAATAGAATGAATTTTAGACTGAAAGGGACATACCTATGCCCGTTTTGCGAAGCACGTAAGCTTGTTTGTCCCAACATAAAACGTGATTCATGAAAGTAGAAAAATAATCTTCAATGATAATCTGTTGGTATTTTTCCCAGCCTTCCCCTAACAACAAGCAAATATTACTCAAATAA